GCCGATAGCTCTGGCGCAGGAGCGTTTTATATAAGATATAAACTGGGTTGTTGAGGTACCTCTCAGAAAATAGTAATATTTTCTTTGTTACATAAATAATGTTTATTTTTATTAATAATTAAATATATATATATTATGTAATAATAAAAATAAACATTATTTATGTAATGAAGAAAATGTTACGATTTCCTAAAAGATGCCTAAACAATCCAGTCTATTTCTAATATAAAACGCTCCTGAGCCAGAGCTATCGGCGGCTCGGGCGCCAGCAGCCGGGCGGTAGTGGGGGAACAGGAGGCATTGTCTCGGAAATCGGCCCGAAATGTGCAACTAATTCCGAGCGCTGCTCTAAAGTCTCGAATCATGTATGAATAACCTGCAAAATAAAAAATTTTCAAAGGTGTAGTAGATAATTACTAAGGCATTCACATTCACCAACATATCACTTATTTCATTTAATACAAATTTCTAACAAATTTGGTCACTCGCACTACACTGCTCTGGATTGATAAGCAGTCTTGAGTGTGCACCAAAGTAACAGAACAATGTAGTGCGAGTGACTAAATTTGTTAGACCGAATTCACTATTATTACTTTTTTATAACATTTTCTGATCTGAAAGGTTATGTAAAAATGTCAAATCGTAAGCGCACGCAGCGCGGCTTCTCAGCGCCATCAGCGCACCTAACGTCAGAAATCGGAAACTGGACATTTTAGCAGGACATTTTAGCTGGACATTTTTATCGTATTATTTTATTATTTATTTAGACATTTCGACTTTGGACTATTATAACTTTTTCTACAGCACCTACAGTAAAAACAAGCATACTTTTCTTATATAATTTGGGTATGCGCTATCGATTGAGCCTATTATCAACTCAATCGGCCCAGCCGTTATTGAGATCCGATAATCTCGGCTCGTCTCAACTTTCGGGCTCGCGTAAAGATACACGGTCGGTCTTGCGCTGCGCGTGAACTTGGCGCGAGACACTACCGTGTCTCTTGATTGATTGATTATTTATTTATTTTTTTAAATGTTTGCCTATGTATAAGTCGGAAGAAAAAGTGACAATAAACATGATAAGCAGATAGCAAAACAAATCGTAAAATTAAAACGATAAGTTTATTCTAAGCTATTCTAAGCTATTCTAAGCTTATTTAAGCTATTAAATCATTTTTAAATAATTATATTCCATTATTACTTTAACGTGTAATTTTTGCATAAAATCGTTCCTGCAGAAGTCTCGTCCAAAATCGCGAATTATAATACAAAAGATAAAGTTTCTGAAAAATGCAATACTTCTTACTGATGTTATCGATTTGCTCAATAAATGTGAACATAAATTTTGTGTGGACAAAGATTAATTTTACTCGTGTAAGTAATCTTTTTTTAGAATAAATGTTTTATGGAAAATATTGCGTACATGTAAAACAAACAACACGTCATACGTGTCGTAAAACAGTACATATTGTATCAGTTGTGTGTAAATAATACCGATACATGAGTCACATATAAGGTGCAATCATGATTATCAAATAAACGATATGCAATAATACATATACATGGGAAATCTGTATCTTTACGAAACTATCATAAATTATGAGAATGTAAATAATTTGCATTTTTAAGTGTGCTAATTAGTTTCGAATATGCGTGGTGGCTAACTCGAAGTTCAAGAACAGCGCAAAGTCGAACATGTGCCATGCGTGATGCGAAGTATACATCGGACCACACGAATACCCTTTTCTCATTGGTCGCTGGATCAATGCGCGCGACTCCACGAGTTCCTATGTTTGAATAAACGGTTAATGGCACTTGCAGTCCCTTGTAATTCTCTCGTAATTGCGTTCAAAGTCCCGTAACGTGGGTGTATGGTCTTTTACCGACATTCCAATTCGCGAAACATGAAACCGTTTATTTTACGATATTTGTATGTGAAATGTCATCGCTTAGCTCACTCGACTTCCCGACGACTTTTTCTGCATATTATGTCATCAGAGTGCTAAATATTATTTCGTTAATCCACTCCGCCAACTGTTTTCAATACTGTAATTCATTACGGTTGAAAACGCGTCAATATGTTTTATATTGATATTATTATTTTAACCAGATGGACGATATTTGTTAACAAATGTTTTGATAAAAAATCCAATAACTAAAATAAACTAATAATTGAATTACATTTTTTTCAGCGAGTCTCCCGAGAGATCACGTGAAAAGGTGCACGGCTCGTGATTCCACGTCTGATCCGGTAGCGTTGATTTCGTTTGCGATTCGCAACGCCTGCTACGGTCGATAACGGTGCGGTGGAAACGCGTCGACGTTGCCGTAATCACGCACACACGCTCACTGTACACGCGATGATGTCGCGTAGCAACACGTGAATTCCAACACCAACGACGTAGGCTTGGCAACGTCGCGGCGGCGCGAATTCCGCACTCATCGATGGAGGGTGTATCTCTTGCACGAACCAGCTGACATTCACCGATATATCGATGATGATAATTCTAGCAACATGAGAATATTTTGCGAGATCTAGATCTCGAGACTTCCGGTTCTCTTCGTGTATACCAGTAAAAAAAAAGTTTGACCGATTGCAAGAATCGCGTCTTTGCCATCATTATTATCTGCATACTGAAATGTAAAAAAAATCAGTGTCATAACATTATAAGCTAGAAGTCCGGAATTTCTTGAAAAGTGAATTGCAACATATATTAAAAAGCCATTAACGATTGTTCTGATTTGCAAAAATAACTTGAAAACTGTGAGATTTTGTCTTCGATTTGATGTGACAATGTGCAAAACTCTGCAATAATTTGATATAACGTCTGTAAAAAAAATATCCTGTCTATTTTAAAACATGTTTTTGCACGTGAATATTTCACGACGTCTACGTGTCTGGTCTGTTATTGCGCGACGACGCGATTCCGCCGTCTTTCAGCCCGCTCGACCCGCGGCGGTTCGGGCTTCGCCAACGCGTTGGTCTGGCAACGTCGCGGGCGGCATAGATTCCGCTCCGCAACCGCAACCGCACGTTTGCTGGGCCGCCATGATACCAAAGCCGTGCTGGCCGTGCAACGGTTTCTCCGCAGTGACGCGCAAGCCGCTGCCGACGACGCGACGTGACGAACATTGGGTGAATACAGCTGGCCGGCTGCGGGTGTTCCGTTACCGATCCTGAGCACTTTTGTGTATATCCATTAATAGAAACCACCGGTTTGATAAAAGAGCTGCCTTAGACGGCGGATAGATCATCTCCGATCGATCCTAATACGATTTTCGAAGTTCAAGTTCTTCAGGAGAAATCTCGTCGCGCTTTAACTACTCAAAACTCTGGAAGTTGAGAAAATCCCTGTCGATTCCGAGATCGCGAGAGAGGATTCAATTGTTTCACCGTAACGTGCGCGATTAAATCGAAACAAAAAGTCAACCGAGCAAACAACCGAGGAAGACCGAGCAGAAAGTTGAGGGAAGAAAGAAAATCTTGAAGACTTTATGAGCATGTTCGACACGGAAAGGTTCATCGAGGAGATAGAGAGGCGGCCGGCAATCTACGATGTGAATCGCGGCGAGTACAACGACCGTAACGCCAAGATGACCGCGTGGGACGAGGTCTGCCAGGTGATGGTACCGAATTGGGCGCGCTTGACGGACGAGGAGAGAAATGTGGAAGGTATATGGCACGCCGTCACGATTGATCGATCTGGATTCCTTCGGCTGCATTATCACCGAGCGCGGGAATCCGGAAAATTTAGCATTGCAGCGAATCGGTATTTTTCGCGTGATTATTGCGATTAGATTGATATCGGTCTTGCGATTAGATAAGTTGAATTAAAGATTGCGGAAGAGAGATAAAAATGTGTCGCTTCACTGTATATATTTCTCATCTGAAAATTATAAATAGACTTTATTTTTATGATATTGATTATATAGATTAATTATTACTTTATTAAATCCAAAAATATTTACAAAGAAATTTGAAAATATTTTTAGACTTTTTTATGTTTTTGATGTATTATGATCTCTTCAAAATTATATCTTTGGCGCAAATATAATTAAAATTGATATTTTCGGGTATTTTTATTTTCTCTTGCGTTGTGAACAAAAATTATGTTGCAGAAAAAAAGGAAAGATTTTGTAAAAATCTCCAAATTTTCTTTTACGTAACTAAAAATTTTTATTTGTCTTTTTCATCGACAAATCGATCAAATTATTGAATCGTAATTTTAGAGAAAAATTTGCGTGGGAAGTGGAGAAATATAAGAGACTATTTTATGAAAGAACTAAAACTCCAAAAATCGCACAAATCCGGCCCGGCGGGACGAAAACGGAAGAAGTACATGTACTTCGATCGATTGTTGTTTCTCATGCCAACGGTGGAGAACAGAAGGTATCAGCTATCTAAAAACTAAAAACTAAAAATTAATATAATCGAAGCGATAAATCGTTCGATTACATTCGATCTGTTTTTAGAAGTTCTGGAACGCTGAATCTTTGCAAATCGGAGGAGAGCGAGGGTGAAGTGGACAATCCCGTAATCGAGGAATACGATGTACCTCTTGCCCATGGCGGCGCTTCTATAACGGGTAGCAGGGAGTATTTTCAGGCAGGTACTCCCTCCTACAAAGTGTGTCCACGTTATTCAAAACAAATCTGCGAGACATCTTTCGCAACCTTCGACAACGAGATACACGACATCCTTTCTTCGCACAGCAGCCAACGCGTTACCCTCGACGAGGACGATTACGACAAAATGTTCCTTTTGTCATTACTGCCGATTATCAGGCAAGTGCCGGAAGAAAAGAAGCTAGATGTCAGAATACAGATGCAACAAGTCCTAGCTATGGCGCTTCGACCGTCCGATAATAAGTAAGTCAGTTTAACGCGTTTCTCGGGGATCAATATGTGTCGGGTGGAGAAAGATTTTAAAATTATATCTTTACAGTGACTTATTTATATTCTATTTTGGTCCGTCCCGTTTAATATTTTATCCGATACATTCTGGAAGATCTGCTTAGATTTTTTTAATTATTGCAGTAAAATAAAATATAATGTCGTTACACAGATTCTGATTCTAATAAATATTTAAAGATGTTTTCATCTAGATTGTATATTAATATTTTTACCAGTATAAGTATGTGTTCGGCAAAAGTACTTTGATATATTTAAAATCTTGTCTATATTGTAGATATAGATACCTGATTGTTATAACCTAGCAAGCAAAATATTAATAGTATAATAGCAGTTTAACAGCAAATTTTTGGTAAGATGCGCGGTGACCTGCGACTGGAACTGCAACTATCCGAATTGCAACACAAAATGTACTCAGACAGCGAGCGCCATCAAACGACAGTGCACCATCAACTTCATTTTTGCTATTCAACGTCGATAATGTTATTATCTGCTGCTTCGCCAGTTGCAATTTGATAACTTGAAGCGTTGATCGCTGTTGTTAGATGGCGCATATAGTCTTTTAGTATGGCGATTGTAAAGTGTAAAATAAAATGTATAATGTAACGTATAATTTTTCAAGAATCAACAACGACGAAAAAGGCTATGAGAATTAGAATCGCGGACACTGGAGCGCAAAAAATGTTATAGATTAATATGCGGAAAAATCACAAATACAAATACGCACTGTGAACTGATGTATCGTGCCAGACGGCGCTGTGTTTGATCATTATTGATGAGTTTGTTTTTTGTTATTTTGATTTATTAATTTTTATCATCTTTATATCTTAATCATTTTAATATTTTATCCATATTTATATTTCAATTATCTTCATATAAGTTTTTAATATTTTCCATGCGTATCTGTTTGTCGAACTGAAGCTGGCTTGAAACTGTAACCGAAACATATTTGTGATTTTATAATCTTTGCACGCAGGCTTTTTTTGTCGTTGTAAAATAAAACACTTCCACAATTTCTATCAGCATTTTGTAATCTGTCGTTGTGTTACATTTGCAAACTATGTCAGATTTTAACTGCAAATCCTGTATTTGTCATATTTCATTAAATATAATAAATACTGTAAATTCTATTGCTCTTTAGCTGATGAAGTTTGCTGCAAATATTTTGCAATATTTATTTTCGATAAACTTTATTATCTGGGAGGATGTGATGAAATTTTAAGTTATCGAGTAATCTACCGAGAATACGAGTTACATCTGAATATTGAGTATAAGATGCAATTGAAAAAATATTATAAAATGCACAACAAATAGATTTTGTACTTCTTAAGGTAAACGTAATGTAAATACTGCGTCTGTGATATTACGTTCTACCCGACAATCGAAGAGATAAAGACATATATGTTGTGTATGACGCAATCATGTCACGATATGATTTAAAAAAAAATATATATATATAATACATATATATTATCCCATTTGATTTTATTCTATTCAATTTTTCCATGATCGTATCAAGAGACACGGTAGTGTCTCGCGCCAAGTTCACGCGCAGCGCGCAACGCAAGCGCAAGACCGACCGTGTATCTTTATACGCGAGCCCAAAAAGTTGAGACGAGCCGAGATTATCGGATCTCGATAACGGCTGGGCCGATTGAGTTGGCAATAGGCTCAATCGATAGCGCATACCCAAATTACATAAGAAAAGTCTGCTTGTTTTTGCTCTGTGTGCTTTATAAAAATAAATATATGCATTCAAAGTCGAGAAATCTAGAAAATCATCATCTCGCTAGGATGTCGCGTTGAGATGTATGTCGCTCGTGTCTTATTGGTCAGCGTTATTCTAACATGGCGGCGCTCAGACCTGTCAGCTCGCAGTTTTGATGTATATATTAATTACATTTATATATTAGTATCGGTCGTAAAATGTTTATACATTTTACGACAGATAACGTGTTGTGAAGACGAATAAAGATAGTGTATATAAAAATAATAGTATTCTTCATAAAAAAATTTTTTCGATCTTAAAGTGCAGAAGTGTACACTCTCAGTATTCTGTAGTTAGTTAATTAGTGGACAGAAAGTGTATTTTGTGCAGATGGTGGAATCTGCAAGTTTCTGACGTTAGGTGCGCTGATGGCGCTGAGAAACCGCGCGGCGCGCTTACGTTTGTTTGGCTATTTGCTCATTTAAATTTTTAGATGTTACATAGAAAAATATTAAAATTTTATAGTTATTTGAGTTATTAATTACTAAAGATGTCCGAATAAGCGCGTATCAATCCAGCCTGCCGCCGAATGCAAGCGCGTGAAGAGATACAACCGCTCAGCGATTATGATCGCTTTCAAGCGTTTCAAAAATCCTCCTCTCTAAGTGATAAAAATATCGAAGTTGTTTTAATAGGTTTGCCATATGATTAAAATGTTTATAATCAGTACAGCAGCGTTACAAACTTTTGTCCTAGGTTTCCACGCACACAATCGAGGGACCATGTTCATGTGCTGCGCAGAACGCTTTACGCAGCACATGAA